AGGAACAACTTCCCCCACTCTCCCCCTGAGCCACGGCTCTGCCCCCCCCTCCCCCTTGCACTCACCCTCTGACCCAGCACCGCCTGCTCCAGCTGCCCAAGGTGCTTCCTTGGGCTGAACCAGCCATGCGCTCAGCCCCACCTCAGGACTGAACCAGGTCCTGGCACCAAAAGCAGGAGAAGAAAGGATGCAGTGTGCCTGCTGGAGGCCACCCCCATTGAGACCAGACCTCTCCTTCCTATGGGAGCTGGGGAAGGGCCAGCCCAACAGTGCAGAGGAGCCTTCCAGGTCCAGGCCACAGCAGCATAAGTGTGGTGGGAGGTGCAGGGAGCCCATCACCCCACCTGGGCCCTGTTGCTGCAGGGGGACCAGGCAGACCCACCCCCAGGAGCCTTCTTGCTGCTGCAGGAAGGTTCCCCTGACCCCAACACCACCCTCCCATGGTAGCAGGATCTGGGGATAGGAGAGGTCAGGAGAGGTCCACTGCCCGTGGGGGCAGGGGGAAGTAGCTCCTCCACAGCTAGGCAACATCCCCTAGTGGCCTGGCTGCACCCACTGCCTATGGCTCCCCGCAAGTGGCCTACACAGTGCCAGGCACACAGTGAAGACATAAGGGGCCAGAGCTGTTTCTGCCAGAGGTCACTATACTAGGTATGTACTATTGGTTAACTTTTTAACCAATATAATAAGAGGAGGTAAAAGGATCATTTTAAAACAATTTCTACATCCCTAACAGCAGTACTCAGAGAAGCAAATATATTAGCAATATTCTTGTATGAAACATTTTACTCCTGCTCTCAGGGTTGATACTAATGTCCTCTACATTATAGGGTACTGACCCAGGACATTTATCTTTCACATCTAAGCCACCACTTTGTTCAACACTGACTGCTGGAAGAAACAAGAAGCATTTTGTTCCCCGCTCCATCCTGAACCACTTAACTGATCCAAGGATAGGTGAGGTTTCCTCTATCTTCCCCCTCCACTTTCTGGCTGCTTTAAGGAGGCACATTGCTCCCTGATATTCTACTTCTGCCACAGGCTCCATTTTGTGACCCCTCCTCTCCAGCAAACCATCTTAGCAGAAGAGTCAATCTGAGCTGATAGCTGCTCACAAGGTGAAAATGGATTAAACATTATCATTTTCAGTCTGCTGAAGCAGCAGTAACACTGGATCCTTCTAAGTCTGGAGTCATCAGGTTACTACCATTTTATATATGGAAGGTTAGCCTTTTATCATAAAAGCTATAGATATAATTTTTTAAATTACAATGAAATTCAAGACTTAATCTAAAGTGTACGCACTTCAAATACTGGTAGCGCACACCAGAATAGCTTTATTCTGATCCAGATCAGTGGATCTGCTCAAACCTAGTACCAGTTGTGCAGTCCAGCCTCTTCCTTACTTGCTAACAATGCTTAAGCCTAGCAACAAGCAATCAACTGCTTGTATTACATTATCTCATACAACTTTTTGGAGGAAGTTTCCTGCACGACATTTATTTTTATGACGGTAGACAGTTTTAAAAGGCAGTAAGTCTGTACAAAAAGAGTCTTTACTGCTTCTAAAGGATTCCCACAACAAGAAATAAGACACACCTCAGATACTTAACTATTGCAATTTCTGAAGCAAGCCACAAGTTATATGTCACTAAACTACTGTTCTACAGATCTTGATCCATAATTTGGTAGTCAATCCTATGTTCATTGGTACTGACACTCCACACTTGCACAAAAAGCCTGATTGATTTCCCCTACAGTCCTGGAAGAAAATCATTTTATTCTGATATATGACATGCACGTTTCGCCAATTCCACTGAGATGTACTTACTTCTATGTTGGCAGAGCTGGGTTGATCTTACCTGTGAGAAACATTAAATTTTTGTACTATCCTTTCCCCGTCTGCTAACCAGATCTGGACATTTGTGATGGGCTCTGAATCACTTAGCGGTACTGATGGAAGAGCTCTTTTCTCAATATCTCCATGATCATTTCTTCCTTTAGAAATTATTCTTGGAGTAGCACTGGAAGGAAGAACCAGACAAGGTTATCCATTTCACACAAAAATCATCAAGTTAAAACAGTCTTGAGCTTATGTATTTAAAGAAGGTTCTAAATTGTGTCAGAGATTAATAACACCATATTCCTAGGCTTGCTAAGCGTATAAATAGAGACTAAAGTTTTAGTAGTGGGATACAATGATTCTTAATATGCTACAAACAGGACACTGAGAGGTAGATTATCTCATTTTTGTTAATGGAAATATATTGTAAAAGTTCTTAAAGAGATGGAGAGAGATTTCAGGTGATCAATGTCTTAACAGGATTAAGCACAAATCCCCAAGAGAACTTGAGAATACTTCGTATGTCTATGCCTCCTTCCCCATTGGGAATGAAGCAAAATATTTTCAGGAGTCTGAGTAAGGAATTTTAAAGCTAATGCTAATTTATGTGCTTCCCAAGTAATACCACATAACAGTCATCATCCAACTTAACATTCATGCTTAGTGTAATATGAAAACAATTAAGTTAGCCTTGATTTGGTTCCCCAACATCCAATTTAAATTACAAGAAAACTGAGTGTCTGCATTTACTCTCTCTCAGTTGTGAAATACTTGTTGATTTTTTTAAAATACAAAGCATTACCCAGTGCCCAAAGTATATATAAGGGAGTACAGAAAAGTGGTTGAATAAAAAGTCTCTAAAATATAAATTTAACAAGTGAGCCTATTATAATTATGTGGTCTGCCAATGGTATTTCAAAAACTGAAGGTTAAATGCAGCTTCCTCTCTATGCAAGCTAACCCTTTCTTCCTGGCCATTAGGTAACTATTATACACAATACAATATTCTAATCAGAGATGTGCTACACCTTAGTGAAGTACCTTAAGTTTTTTAAAGACATGACAATACAAAACAATGTCTTAGGATTCCATCTGCACTTACTAATAATTTGTCTTCAGGAGAAAGTCTACTTAGAAGTCATATTTCACAGATTTCATAGACATTAGGGCTGGAAGTGACCTCGTAAGATCATCGGGTCTAGCCCTCTGCCCAAGGGGCAGGAAGTCAGCTAGGGTCAAAGGATCCCAGCGAGATAAACATCCAAATGTTTCTTGAATGAGTCCAGAGCAGGTGCTTGCACCACTTCTGGGGGGAGTTTGTTCCCATTAGACCTTGTCATCTCCTTGGGGTGCTCTGGTGAGCAGACATCCCCCCAGATCCTGATGCACATCCCTTGTGTACTTATAGGCTGCCACCAAGTCACCCCTGAGCCTGCGCTTCTCCAGGCTGAAGAGTCTCATAGCTTACAGCCTCTCTTCACAAGGCCTTTTTTCCTGCCCTTTGATCATGCACGTGGCTCTCCTCTGGACTCTTTCAAGCTTCTCCACTTCCTCCCTAAATTGCAGAGCCCAGAACTGAATGCAGAATTCCTTGTCTATTTTTTAGAGAGACCCCAGGACTTATGCCAAAAACCATAATCACTAAATACAGAAATCCACTGACTAAATCTAAGAACATGACACAAAAGCCTTACCTAAACTCTTTGACACAGAAGTTCCCCCAATAAAGATTCTGATGAACCTAAAGTTTTGTTTCTGGGAATGAAGAAAAATATTCCCTAAAACTTTTAAAAATTGATGCATAAAGACCTCTAGGGACTGAAAATTAAGGAAAAAGTTGTACTTCTATTTTTTGACTTAAAAGAAATATCATTGTTCTAAAAGGCCCGTTAATCAAGTGAACATATGAAACTCTCTCAAAGATAGAAGATCTTTTCATCTGCCCCTCAATGTGGAATAGATTTTTTCATTAAATTTTCTAGTTTTCCCCAGTCTAATGGCAAAAGGTCTGACAGTTTTACCTGATGAAGTTACAGAAAAAATCTGACTGACAAGGAGTTAAGTCGATCTTTTTAGTTAATGTATTTCCAAGAAGAGCTTTAAGATATAGTTCTAAAACATAAGACGAAACAGAACCAACATTTTCTATTGCAATCAAAACTATTAAATGCAGTGAAGCAGGTGTACATAATACAAAAGAACACAAGCATTAATTACATAGGTTAAAATGAATTAGGTCAGACTCAGAACTAAGTCTTATTTGGCTCTCACGTGTAACATAAGAAGAAAAAAAAAAAGACAAGGAGGATAAAACCTAGTGTTATTTGGTCTATATCCAACAGATTAGAAAACACTATCCTGCCTCCCCCTCAAGCAACACTGCCATTGAAGTTACCATCAGACTGACCCAAACCAGGACTACAGGATTAGTTTCGTCACGAGTCACTATTGGGGGCAAGAATTAGCTCAAGTGGAGAGCTGATAACAAATGTTTAGAATTGCCAAAGTTAGTAAGAAAAGCTGCAAGTCACAACTAGGTCATCTGGCAGGCAGAGTACCCAGCACTTCAGTAACTGAAATCACTGCAGTGACAGAGCAGGAGCAACTAGTTTCCATTTACAAGATCAATCTTCTTAACCACGTGACAATTCGTATATGGGGTTCAGTAGCTTGGTCAAGATTTAAAGATGTCATTAAATATATTTTCCACCCCCCTTCCACTAAGAATAATGGGACAATTAAAGGGAAAAAACCCCAAACAGTTTAATGAGCTACGAGCAATTTCATTGCTCTCATCAATTCTACTGTGATCAGTTATATAACTGAATACCAAACCTGCTAAATCAAGACCCTCTTGCTCCTGTAGTCCCATTTTCTCCATGTCAATGTCACCCCCTCCAGCCCCCTGCCCCACTTCCTTTATGAGCTGAACATTGCATACACTTTGTTTCGACACAGACGAGTCAGTGTTTCCATCACATCAGTTACAACGAAGGTCTTTTATGGCAGGGTAAGAGCTTAAGGGAAAATGCTACTACAGATATCACACTGAAGTCTGAAGACATGAGGCATTCCCAGTGCAGTTAGAAAGCATCCATTATATCACACTACTTACCTTCCCAATCGGTAACCATGTCCAGAAAATGGGTGAAATACTGGCTTCCTTGACATATACACCTCATCTTTCTTATCTTCTACCTTCACATCCACTTCTTCCTCATCAAAATTTTTTTGCAACTCAAAAGGCAACTCCCTTAAAAGTCAAGAGTCAAGATTAAAATAAAATTCTTGGTTTAATCTTAAAATTTAAACACATACACAACCCTGACTAATCTAGGTGAGTTTATCCACCCAAAAGGTATTAGTGATACGTCACTAACACCCATACAACATAATCTGTAAATCAAGCTAATGAGTTGGGGACCCACTGCAGATTACTGAATTGCAAATTAATTAGAAGTAAACAGTAAAAATGAGAGAAAGATATCACTGCAGCATGACAGTTTTTTTGATAGAGGGATTATACCCATATTTTCATTGCAAAATTGTTTATTAAAGAGGAGACTAAAAATTGGCTCTGCTGTAGCCTTTGCAAACATAATTTAAGGGCTTCTTTTAATATCCAAAATGTCACCAGTATCCAAGCTCTTTAGTAGACTACACACTGATTGGATTGGGTCCATGCTCAAGTACAGCAAGATCAGTTTCCTGGTTTAAAAGCTCTTTGGCAAAAGGACTCAATTGTGTGATTGTGACAGTGCCTTTAGTGTCTGCGTTGCAGAGAAACTATATGGTGCTGCCAAAATGGACAGCAACCATCTGAAAAATTGTCACCCCATAAAAGTGGTCATCTCTGTAACTATTTGGCTTGGGGAATTGGGAGGAGTGGGGAGAAGAGAAGGAGAAGGGGGATGGCGAGAAGAATCTTTTCTTCAGGAGTGTGGGTTAATGCTCACACTAAATAGCTGGGAAAGGATGCTACTTTTATGGACAAGGTGCTCATTATAATTATGGTCAGGAGCAAATGCTGGTAAGTGCCATTCACAGAGAAAAATGTTTTCATTAATATGCTGTAAAATTAAGTACTATTGACCTAGTAAGATTTGACACAGCTTGAAAGGATGATTTATCATTTTAAATGCAATGGCTTAATGAGTTCATACAGCTGTAAAAACAGTTACTTTTGTTTAGCTTTCACTCAAACGGCACATTTATACCACAGAAGTGACTGACAGAAAGGTTACCCAGCACTTGCTGAAGGAGGCATAGCAGCAGCTCCTCATAGGGCCTCAGAATCTTTCAATGAGCAGAGAAAACTACACCTTAACTGTAGCTAAGGATACCCTCACTGTAATCTTTCTTTGGAGAGCATTTCAGCTGTAGCTACCACTAAGGCATTGTGCCTTCCTTATTATAACTTTAGGGTACAATCATCAAAATGGACTTTTAGTTTATCTCAGCACTCTGAGTGTATAACCATAGGCTCTAAAAGGTTACTCTGTCTATTGGACATGCCTTACTACAGTGTGAATAGCTATTTTAATGACAACTGCAGCATAACTTCACATAGGTCTATTTTAAGGTATAAGCAAAGCAGCTGCTATACCAGTTCATATAGCATTAAGAATTTAAGCAAAGCACAGTATAAAGTGTATTAACACCCAAAGCTCACTTGCCCTTTTTTAATTGAATCTAAGAACTGCTGATTTGCCACATCTGTGTAGCTCCTGAGATCACCATCATTTACTGTGAATCCATTTTTCCATAGCTTAATAATGATGTCAGCCTGCGAAGTAAGAATAATGAATATCATCTCTTCAACAATGAAGTAATGGGAAAACACAACTCAACATACTAACATTTTCTTATCGTTTCAGGTCATCTACTCAAGAAACCAAAATTATGCTGGAAGACGGCTTGCTCTAATGTCTTGGGTCAATCCCAGTAGACAGGAGGGTAACAACATGGGACAAGTGACATTTTTAATTTCTAAATATCTTCGGTCATCAGAAATATGCTTGAGACAAACCTCTGAGCCCAAAATGATTGAAAAGCAGAGGTGCCTATGTAAAACTGTTTACAAGAAGAATTTAAGACACATCACCCTAGTTATCCTCTTACTCCTACCACTCCACATGATGGGTGCCAGAGTTTTTCAATTGATCTCTTTGAAGTACTTGATGTGGAATCGAATGCTCAGCACCAGTGGAGGCCAACATTTTTGGAAGGCATGCCACAAGTTACCCTTCCTTGCACCTTGCTCAACTGCCACTATGATCTCCTTCCCCTGCCCGATCCAGTGCTTTACTTTCTATTTCCTGCCCTATAGTCCTCTGTGTTGCCTGTCCTGATCTGTCACATGCTATACACTGAGGCTGCCCATGTCATCTATGGCATGCTGCCCATGTCACCTAAGCCACCCCAACTTTACACTATTCCTGAATCTCTTTTGTGAGTTTTAAAGGGCACAGCTGAAGGATACAGAGCGCAGGACTAGGAATAGAGCTTAGAACGCTTGCTCCGTAATATACACTTAGGTCTGCTAGCTGTAAAGCATGTTCAGTATTTATGTTCTTCCAGAAAGGGATATAGCAGTTGCTTGTCAAGTGCTATATATAAACAGGCAAGTAAATAGAAGGATTACTCAGCAGTAACTGTAGTTTGAATTATACCACAAGCTATTCCAGACCCTGATCAATTTAAAGATATTTTGACGCTTGCACCCATATCACACAAATGTAGAAGGTATGTGTAGATTTAGTTCACCTTACTTAACAGAGGCTCTTCCTAGAGCCCAACTGTCAGGAGAGGCTAAGCTACTCAAAACTAGATGCTGAGGGGAAAAACAGTGACTTAGCCAGTTTAGACAGAGTCAGACGACTTCAGATGGAGGTTTAGAATATAGGTGTCAATGTATTCATGCAAAACAGTCAGCCCCCAGGACCTGAATCTTCCCAACAGTCCTGGCAGATATCATAACAATCTTTAGAGACTCTTGTGTACAACTCCAGTACAGCATTCAAGTGATTATGCTACAATCCAGGCATGCAAGTTTAGGGAGTTAAGATTCATATGTACTGTTATGTAAGTGACAAATGAAGGGAGACTGGAGAGCTGAACATGGCTGGAGGTAAATGGATGCTTTTCAGTCTTTTCTGCACTAGGACTCTTCAAGCCATTTCATCATACAGGAACGGCAGGAGATTGTTCGTGTTTACAAGGCTGCTATATAAAGAAACTGTAACCTACCCCTGAAACTCTGAGTACCAGAACTAACATGTCCAGTTGAGAGTTAAATTAAACTAAAAAGTTTTATCCTGACTATTCTGGAAAATTTTTTAAGTAAGGGTATAAGACAGAACGTACAGAAGCCTTTGACTCGAGACATGAAGTGTGTATCAGGAAGCAGCTCCTCTAGTGAACTAGTTCAGAGGCTGGTAACCAACAATCCACAGAGTGGATCTGGCCTCCAGGGTCCACCCACACGGCAGCCAGGAGGTTGGTGGGAGCAGCTAGGACTGAGTGCCAGCTCACCTCGGACCCAAGCTGGGCTGCTCTGACCCGCTGCCTAAAAACATTGCTGACTGACTGCTGATCTAATTTATATTACCCTGCAGACTGTGGAGACACATACAAAAATTTAAGATCAGATAATAAATGAAAGAAGTAAGTTTACATAATCCAGAAGATATTTAAAACATCTCCAGAACATGTCTGAATATTTCAGGTATACTTAAACTATCAAACTTTTAGATTTTTCACTAACAACTGAAACCTTTCTAACTTGAACAGGACTAGAAGAATTTGACCCCAAATCTAATAATATAGCCAGGTTTCCGTGAAGGTAGTTAATCCTCCAAATCTGAGTACTGGAATGATATGGTCTCAACTTGGGCAGTTGTCCAAACACACAAAATATTAAGTGCAGAATCAACTTCTAGCTGAAAACTGATGTGAACACGTATTAGGTTTTGCATAAAGTTAGAAGTGTCCACTAATTATGTCCTTTGTAAAGGCTGGCTTGTTATGCAAACAAATATTTTAGAAGCCGAGTAAGAAGCAGCTTCTGTTACTGATTAGCTACGGGTATAAGCAACTTATGCACTGTACCTGAAGAGAATAAGAGCACTTAGTCTGACTGGACTCCTTCAAAAGGATTTTACATGTCCAGGTACCAATTCAGACTGAGAATTTCACAACTCAAGAAAATCATGGCACAGTGAGCTGGAGTGTAGACCTGCAATATTGAATTGTTACAGTGCTATAAATTCACACTACGTCTTACTGCATACAAGTTTTCCCCTATAGACAAGCACCAAACATTTACTACTCGAGATGTTTAAGAACGGCATCTCTGGTCTTCCTTCCTCCAAGTTTCTCCTTAGAATTCATTGGAATAGAGCAAGGCTGCTATGGATCAGCTTCAAATCTTCCTGTACGCACTCTCGCATACCCCAAAAAGCAGCTGAAGAGTGGTAAGACTGGGGGGGGCAAAATACAGCCCATGGGACAGATCCGGCCCACCAAGTCATTCTATCCAGCCCGGGGGGGGTGAGGGCTAAAAAATTTAGAAAATTATTATCTGCACATGACTGCTTGTCCAAGATGATGAGGTGCCAGCAGCAACAGCACCCAGGAGAAGCCAGTGACAGGACCCAGCAGCTGAGCAGCAAGGCCTGCCCGACACTGCCCCCCACCAGCCTCCCATCGCCCAACAGAAAGCCTCTGCAGCTTCTGGCCTGGCAACACTTTCGCTGTTCTCTGCCCTCCCTTCATCTGAGTGGAAATCCAGATAAGATCAGACAGAGGGAGGGAGTGGAAACCGTTGCAATCAGCCCATGCCAGGCTGGGCTGGTACCATGCTGCACCGTGTGGTCCCCGCCATGCAGCCGGGAACCACGTGGTGCTGGCTGGGGTGGGCTGGAGTGGTGGCCATGCAGGAGGGAAAGTAGGGAAGTGGCAGGGGAG